TATTGACAGTGGGGTGTTCAGGTCCCCTGCTATTATGGTATTAGTGTCTATTACCTTCTTTGGGTCTGATAGAGTTTGTTTTTAAGTAGCTTATTTTAAACTAGGTTTTAAACTAGGAGCACCAGCTACCCTTTCTGGGTGGCACATCAGTAAAAAGTCTTATAAATCTCCACAAAAGGAACTCCGTTAAAAAGAGAACATTCATCCCTTTCAAAATAATTCCCAAGAGGGAAATTCAGTAAAAAGAGAAAGGTGTTTTGCTGAGACAAAGCTGCCGCTGGGAGAGCAACACAGCCCAAGTCCTCCTGCCAGGTGGTGTGGCCTGGTGCTGTTAGAGTAATCCTCTCATGGGCTGGCCAGTCTCTGACTCTATTGGCCAGTGAAGTCACAGAACCATTTTGGCTGATTTTTTAAAATTAGACTGACTGCGGGCCGGCCCGGTGGTGCACTCGGTAGAGTGCGACGCTTAGGAGAGCAGCGGTGCTCCCGCTGAGGGTTCGGATCCCATATAGAGACCAGTCCGCTCACTGGTTGAGCACGGTGCGGGCGCAACACCGAGGGTTGCGATCCCATTGCCGGTCGCGGTACGGGCGCGACACTGAGGGTTGCGATCCCGTTACCAGTCACGAAAAAAGACAAAAAGGAAAAAAAAAAAATTGGACTGACTGCTACGTATTCTTTTTGCAACATACAGACACAGTCACGACACACCCTCTTCTAAGTCCTGCCCTCTCTTACTTCTTTCTTTTGTAGATAAGCTTATTGAAAAATTTTCTAAATTTGCTCTCTCTGCTCTTCACTTCCTGATGCTATGTGGCTTCGGTGCCCATCCACCCCACTGAAAGTTTTGTCACATTAATTCTTAGTTAGCATTTTTCATGTCTTAACTTAATCAGCATTTTCAGGCTAATTCTCTGCCCGCTTGGTTTCTGGAAACCACCCTCTCTCTGCTTCACCCCTCCTGCTCGCTCTCTACTTTGCCCTGTCTCTGTATTGGGAGACTCCAGAATTCTTTCTTCACTATACTCCCCATGATCTTAAAGGTATTCTCTCTACAGAGACTTCTATACCAGTGTCTCCCCATGATCTTAAAGGTATTCTCTCTACAGAGACTTCTATACCAGTGTCTCCAGAACTCTTTCTAGAACTCTACACCATGAGTCTAATTACGTAACTACCTGCAAACATCTCATACTGAACACATACTGAACCAAATTCTCTTTTTACCCCTTTAAAGCTGGTTTTTATTCATTTGTTCAACACATATTTTTATAGAATTAGTTAAAAGTAACCATTTAATAGTACTGGTGGGCAAGACAAATGTTAAAATGGCTCATCCTCAGAGAGCTTACAGCCTAGTGAAGGAGAAAGAAACACGAACAAGCACTTTTGAATGCTGTGTGATAAACACCACCAGAGACATCAGAGTACCATACTCGCCTCTCTCTTCTTTCCTCTTCTTCCCCCATATGCAATCACTTTCAGGGAAAAGACCCTTTTTCTAACTGGAGCCAGATCAACGGGACATCTATGTTGAAAATAATAATCTCAACTCCTATCTCAGACTTTACAAGAAAATAAATTCTAGGTGGACTACAGTTCTAAATGTAAAAGTAGTAAATTTTATTTGTAAATGTGAAGGAGAAAGTGTTTGTGACCTTGGTCACACAAAGATTTTTAAACAGAATATAAAGAGCACTAAACATAAAGGAAAAATAATAAATTGAGTTTCATTAAAATTAAGATCCACTAAGAGAGTGAAAAGGCAAATCATTAAGGGGAAGAAGAAATTTGCAATACACATCCTGACAAAGAAATTACATCCAAAATACACAAACAGTTCTTAACGATCAATAAAAGAATCACAACCCAATTTTTTAAAACATGGGCAAAGGGCTTAAACCGATATTTCACAAGATGCTATCCAAATAAATGGCCAATTAGAGATAAAAAGGCACTCAACATCACTAGCTTTCTGGGAAATACAAACTGAAACCACAATGAGATACCTCTACACACTTACCAGAAGTACTAAAACGCAAAAGATGTGCAATGCCAAGTGTGGGCAAGGATGCGGAACAATTAAACTCATGAATTGTTGGCGGAGATGTAAATTGGCCCAACCAGTTTAGAAAACTACTTTGCAGATCTACTAAAGCTGAATACAGGCATATTCTATATCCAGCAATTTTACCTCTACGAATACACCCAGACACGTATAAGAACATTTACAGCAATTCTCTTTACCAAAAAACAAATCTTTGTCAACAGTACAGTGGATGAATAAATTTTGGTAACGTGATGAAGTGGAAGACTATACAGCAATAAGAATGAACAAACTATTGCTACATGTAGCATCACGGATGAATTTCATAAACACAGTGCAAGAATAGAAATGGGTTGCAAAAGAGCAAGTGCTGTATGATTCCACTGAAATAAAGTTCAAAACCAGGCAAAAAATAATCAATGGGCTTAGGAATCAGAATATGATTACCCTTGAGAGGGTAACAACAGAGACATGACATGGGTGCACTTCTGTGGTGCAAATAGTGTTTTATTTCTTTGTCTGTGGGCTGGTTACATAGACATACTCACTTGTGACCCCATGATTTGTGTACCTTTTCTTATATATGTAATACTTTAAAGTTTACTTAAAAAAATACACCAAGTCATTGTAACAAAAATAAATAAACAGAGAAATTAACTATAGAGAAACATATTGTTGTGTTTTATTTTATCTTACCTGGTTAATGTTATCTGGAATATCTGATATCCAGCTATAAAAGAGGCCAACCTTGAAAGACTTTGTTTTCCTGAACCACCAACACCCACCAGCAACGCATTTCCACATGATGTTCGAATTATTCGTGAAATCTGTTTTGAAATAAAATAGTATTTGCAATAGGATGCAAATGTTTACATTTTCTTGCACTAAATGGGTTCAAGGTTCGACTGTATGTTTCTAGACAACATTAGACTTTTTCGTTTTAATGGCATATCTTAGAATCTTAAAAATTAAAATTAAAGTTTCATACTGATTTATTCGGCTCAAATTATTTTCTTGCCCATCTATATTTACATCACAAAAAACAACAAATTGGCTTTACTCTCTTCTGTTTCAAAACTATGGGGGTGGGTTATTTATTATTTTTAGACTCAACAGATAGAGGAGCTGCTCCTCCTAATCTACAGAAGATGTAAGAAAAGTTTAGAATTGTTTGCTTACATCAGTTTAACGCACTGAATCATGCAGACACCCATCTCTACAACAACTACTACCTCTATCATATCTCCATCAAAGAAAAATTTTTTAAAGTACCAAAATTTTATTTACAATGAGGATAAGGTGATGTTTGTAGAAAAAGACTTAGAGAGACAGCCTTAAATCTTGTGTTGCTTTTCTACGGTTGATTTCCTCAGTGAAGATAAGACTCAAATTGTGATTCACACTTTATGCAGAACAATTGAAGACACTGCTAAAAAGCTGTCTTTTATATTAATGTCACTGATTAGGAAGAAAGTCTAGATGGATCACTAGACCTATTATCACCACTAAAAATAATTTTTCAAAAAAATGCAAGTTTTACAAATGGCAGATCAATAACAACACTTTGGTATGTATTAATTCATCGTTATATTTTTTAAAATGTTAATCACTTATGCAGTTTTGCACCTGGAACAGGGTCTCAGGCTCCCAAGACCCACCCAAGATTAGTGGGTGGCTAATTATCTGTTGAATGGATAGGTGTGAAAACAGCCCCAGGGCATCTGGAACTTCACCAGCTTTGTGGAAGACAACTATACAACAAATAGAGCTAACTGCCTCCTCTTTATCAAACCTCCCTACTCCATGTCATTACTTCCTGGAAAAACTTCTTTTGGATCAACCAGTTACATAAGTAAATAATTTTTTTCTGCCGCCTTTCAGACTTGAATCAAACTATGCTTCTTTTTGGTGCGACCTCTAACTGGCTTCTGTTTTCTCGCCAGTCCTGTATACCGGCCTAACTCCCTTTCCCCATCAGTTTGTTCATAATCTGTAAGCCAATTATGAAACTGACACTTTTTAAAGCAACATTTTTTCCTCCATGGGGAACAGAATTCCCATAACATCAAAATCTAATTTGCAGAGGGTACATTTTTTCACAGGGTTCTCCAGCTTACTTCCTAGGAAGGTGAAACTCTGACTTACTATGCCAAAAGCTCTGAAAACACTCAAAAAAACATCAATTTTCCCTTGAACAACATTTGCTGTCATGTAGGTGGATTAAAATGAGAGGTTTCTTATTAAACCTTTGTTTTCTAAGATAGTGAATGGACCCAATGTATGTACCCTCTTATACCTGCTGCCTAGCAGTATATATTTATTCTCTCAAAAACTTATCTATGAAATTTACTAAGCTTTTACATGATCTATTTATATCAGTAAATAGTCCACAGAACCTTAATAAGATGAGTCATTGCATCTTTAAAAAACACCAGATCAAGAGATGTTCCTCTAATGATTTCATTAAACTGTTTCTGGTAAAACTGGAGTTTTTCAGACAGAAAGTCAAAGGATGGTATCTATGGGTGAGGAAAGAGAAAAAAGTAATATTTAAGATACAAACATTTATGTATTATTTATTTACTTAAGATGCAAGCATTTATCGTAAAGAAACCAAAAGCAATTCTTAAAAAAAATCTTTTTAAAATGTTATGGATTTCCAGAGATTTGTCTCCTATTGGTCTACATTTAGTTATTTCCATTTTCAGAGGCCTGAAACCTAACTGCATTAGTTGGTTTCCAATACAAAATCATTTCTGGCCCTTCCATTCAAGAGGCCCGGGACCAACTACTACCAACGGTAATTAACAGTGAAACATAAATATTTTTCTTAGTTTCTATTTGTTTTTTAATACTGTTTATAGCTTTAAAAATATACAGAAGTTTTACACTGTTTATGTAGCCAAATCCACAAGTCTGTTGTTCTGAAGAACTAAACCACTTTCTTTGTTTTGCAAATTGTTCCTCCCCATTTAATTCTTTGATCTACATGCACTTTGAAAAACCCCTTCGTAATATTGCTCCAAATTTCATTAAACCTATACAATAATTTAGGAAGAATGATGTGTTGCCATTTAATCGAATAAAGTTTTATCATGTAATTTCTAGATATTTTATAATATTATTGCTGTTGAATAAAATAATTTTATGTTATATTTTCCACCTTTTGGTTGTTGACAATGGTTGGCAAACTTTTTCTGTAAAGGGCAAGATAGTAAACATTTTAGGGTGTGTAGCTCCTACAGTCTCTCTGTTGAAACCACTCAACTCTGCCACTGTAGCACAAAAGCAGCCATGGACAACACATAACAAAATGGGTGTGGCTGTGTTCCAGTAAAACCTTACTTAAGAAGACTGAAATCTGAATTCCATATAGCTTTTACTTGTCACACAATATTGTTTTTCTTTTGATTTTCTTCTAACCATTTAGAAATGTAAAAATTCTTCCTACCTCACAAGACTAACAAAAACAAGCAGTGGGTTGGATCTGGTCCACAGACTATAATTTGCCAACCCTTGGTAGAGGGGATAGTTTCATATTTATATAACACTTGGCCATCTAACTGGACTCTTATCAGTTAAAATAGATTTTAGATTCTCTTAGATTATAAAATTACATAATCATATCACCTACAAATAGTATTTTGGCTTTTTTTTTAAATATTATCTATTTTTGTCACTTTGTTGCACTGCCAGAACTTTCAAAGCAATATTAAAATGGCAACAGTAGGTATACTTGTCTTATACCTGACTTTTTGCTGCTAAATTTCATTGTAGGAAATATTTTACTTGACATGTGATAACTATGAATCACAACACATAAATAACTTAGAACTTACAGTAACTCCATGGTGAGACTCTGGGACAGACAGAAATATCTAGTTAGGGGAGTGATCTGAAAACCTCTTTTAAGAGATGAAAATAAATACCAATTCATAGATTTTGGGTACTTCAAACGTAGTGTCTTCGGGTTCTTCACCAGTTGGTTCAGGCGTCTCACAGAGAAAATCCACAAAGTATGGTTCAGGAAGAATACATGATACCACGTTGGAGCCAATATTTTCTTCGACTGCACGAATGAGATGTGCATTAAACCACAGCTCATCTTCATGAGTTATAAATCTGAAAGGAAAATGTAGTAGTAAGAACGCAAAGTATGAAAGCATCTTTTCTAACTGAACATGGTTTCAACCACCCTTCCCTTCCTCTCAGCTCCTCCCATGCCCCCACCCCAGCACCTTCCTCCCCTCAGGACAGGGAAACAATATGTTCCTCCTTTTGACAAGAAGGGATAACCCCATCCGAGACAGTTATACCGTTAACAGTATTACTCATAGAAAATACAGACGAATCACTTAGGTGAGGTCAAAGGTCCCTAAAATTTGCAATAGGAGTGCATAAGTGACAGTCAGTAGTGGGCAACAGCACTCTTTCTGGGTTTGTGGACACACAGTACACAAAGATCCTGTTCAGGCTTACAGTATCACAGAGAAAAGAGAGCAAGAAGGTGGAGCAACATATGACAAGCACCAC